CCGGGGCTTCCCCTCCCCCCCAAACCCCCCTTTCCCCCCCACTCACTCCTCCCCACCCTCTCTCTCCCGTCGCTCGCCCTTACAGCCGGTAAAAAGTGATGAAGCCATGGCCGCCTGCCCTCCCCCGTTCCGGCGCCCCGTACTAGGGTTACGGAGGAGCGGCATGGCGCCTCTCTGGAAACTGCCAAGAGCGACAGGGCTACGTAGGCTCATCTCCCAGCCACACAACACTGGATGACGGAAGGCAAGAGGTGGGACAGTCTTGTGGCATGAGGTGGTGCTGTCATGGGGGAGGCAAAGAGTGCTCAGAGCTGCTCTATTTACTGCCCAGAGGAAAGGGGATGCCCCTTGCTTTCACCAGTGATTTCTGAGGCCTGGTCTATGCAGATTTTGTACCAACAGAACTATACTGGTCAGGGTACAAATATAGTTATCCTGGTACAATCCCTCGTATGGATGCAGTTATCCCCGGATAAAGAGGCCTTACAACTGTAGAGCTTATTCTTCTTTCCATACAAGAATGAGCTATGCTGGTATAGTTAAGCAGTATGACTTTCTAGTGTCAGCAAGGCCTTAATAGTGGAGAAGAATCCAAAGACGTGATTCAAACTTCTTCTGAGCCTGGCATTGGATGATTCAGATGCACGTTAGCTAGCTCTACAGGGCTGATTTCCTGGTGCCTTACAGGGCAAGTCTATGCTACAAAATTAAGCTGACCCAAGTTACGTTGACGTACAGCCACCGCAGTAATTAAATCGCTTTGCTCCTTGTGTTGGCGGTGCACGTCCTCGCCATGAACGCTTGCACCAATTTAACTGTCAGTGTGCAGCATTGTGGGACAGCTTCTGAAAGTCAATGTAAGCAGCTCAGTGTCTACACTGACACTGCGTCACCCTAACTACATTGACCTAAGCGCTATGCCTCTCGCGGAGATGGAGTTAAGTAAGTGGAGTGAGCAAGTTACACCAGCGGGAGCTACATTTTAGTCTGGACGCTTACAGAGTTAGGTCAAGGTAAGGCAGCTTACATCGACCTACCTCTAGCCTAGACCAAGGCACTGTCATTTACCCAACCGAATCAGAACGGGTAGCTTTTTAGCACCCACTTAGCCCAGGCAAAGTGAGAATCAGATCTCTGTAGAATGGTATAACTATTGTAACTTCATTTCTCAGGGCTAGTCTACGCTACCCGCCCGGATCGGTGGGTAGAAATCGATCTCTCGGGGATCAATTTATCGTGTCTCATCTAGACGGATAAATCGATCCCCGAGAGGTCGATTTCTACCCGCCGATTCAGGCGGGTAGTATAGACCAGACCTTACTTAACTCCATCTCCGCGAGAGGCATAGCGCTTAGGTCAATGTAGTTAGGGTGACGCAGTGTCAGTGTAGACA